GGGCCTGAGAGCCGGAGTGGACTGGGCACTGTTAGGAGCGTTGGCGCCCCTCGGCCTGGCACGGCCCTGGCCAGCCGCGGCCCCCTCCGCACCATTCAGAGCCTACGCTGGGCGGGCCTCAGCCTGCGTTGGCTCCCTCAACCCTCCAGCAACCCTGGAGGCAGGCCTGCTCATTGAGCACCAACTGTGTACATGATTCCTTCATCTGACACATTCTGTGAGCGCCTACTGTGTGCCGCGCAGGGTTCTGAGTGCTGGAGTGCACACCGAGTCCCTGGTGCAGGCAGAACGCCATGCCTCGGGGCCCAGGCCAGGGACAGCACACCCTGCACTCCCTCCCCTGGTTTTAGGTGGGGAGAGAGACCCCGGGCAGCTGGCGTGTGGGAGGAAGGGATGGCGGGTCCTCCCTGTGGGAGCTGAAGCCCCAGGAGAGGACCCCAGGGATGGCGGGGTTTCTGAACCCAAGGAGCAGGCCACCGTCCACCGTGTGGGCATTAACCCGGGACAGGAGAGTCCAGCCTTGTGTCCCCACCCCGCTCCCTCCAGGCCTGGCAGATCCTCAAGTCAGTGAGAGTGTCCGTGGGCGAGGCCGAGACCGCAGGCCTTGAAATAGAGCCTCCTTCGCCCCCCTGGCCGCAGGCTGAGTCACCCTGGACCGCGGCCCGGGCCAGGCGGGCTGGGGGTCCGACTGGAGCAGCTGAGGGGCCAGGCGCCTGGGCCCCGGCTTCCTGCCTTTGTCTGCGGCTCCTCTCGACTCTTCTGGGGAGGAGGAGAGCTGCCAGAAATAACACCTGGCCGCTGCTGGCCCAGCAGGAGGGAGGAGAGCTGCCAGAAATAACACCTGGCCGCCGCTGGCCCAGCAGGAGGGAGGGCAGCGGGGGAAGCCCCCACCTGAGTGTCCCCAGGAGGCCCTCACGCCCTGCATGGGGCAGTCCCTGAAGACCCTCTGTGCCTCAGTTTCCTCACCTGCAAAGTGGGGGTGCAGATGTCGACGGGGGGTGACCTGGGGCCCGACAGCGTCAAGAACGTGGCCTGCGGTCAGACCTGCTGGTGGAGACCCAGCTCCTCCCCAGGCCCCGGCAAGCGACTGCGCAGCCAGCCCGGTTCCTCCCCTGGGAGATGGGTCTGCTCCTCAGGGCGAGAGGACACTCGCCCGTCCCTGGGGCTGAGGGCCAGCGGGGCTGCCAGCGGGGCTGCCCGCGGTCAGGGCTTCTCACGGTGGCCTTAGTGGCAGCAGGGAGAGTTTGGAGAAGGCCGGGCACAGCAGCTGGTGGCGCTCGGAGTCACCCCGGGCTCCCTGCCCAGCTGCTCCCTGGCCTCCAGTGCCGGGCCCGCTCCTGGCTCCCCTGACCCCTTCGTTCCCGTCCCCCGGCACAGTCGGCAACGGTGCTTCCGTCTCAGACCTGGAAACCAAGGTGCGGAGAAGGCACGAGTCACGCAGCCAGCGAGAGGCACAGCCGGAGTCTGGGGCCAGGAACCAGTGCTGAGGTCACCCTTGTGACCACCAGGCTCTCCTGCCTCTTAGGCCGACTGCCCGCTCTGGGCCCTGCTCCCCAGACTGCCCAGGTGGCAGGGCAGGTGCCCGCGGGTCAGCAGGCTGGTCCCCAGCCGGAGAAGCTGCCGGGGCCCGGGGCTGCAAAGAGCAGAGCCCGGGAAAGGGCCTGGAGCCTCGCTGGCCGCCTCCTGGGCCCGTGAGGGGGACTTGGGGGACTCGGGCTCCGGGCAGCGTGAGGCTGGGAGGCTGGGTCTGCTCTCTGCCAGCACCGACGCTCACCCCTGCCCTTCTCCCCCGCCTGCCCTTGGGGTTCCGGTGGGGGACAGCCAGACAGAGGGGCAGAGTCGGGGCGAGGGAGGACAGGGAGGGAACCTGATGGCCTGTCCCTAGAGTGCTGCCTGCGCAGGGACCCCCTGCTCGAGAAGTTGGGGTGGGGGGCCAGGTGCCGGGCCTGCCCTCCTGGGTGGCCACGCAGCCTCCTCCTTCCTGTAGCCTCTCTTCAAACACAGGCTTTGCCTCCTGACTCCCACTTCCAACCCTCCACCCATCCACACCGCATGTGGCACAGGAGCCACACTCTCCTTGGCTTCAGGCCCTTATGGTCCTCAAGGACATTCCCGCCATCACTGCCTGTGTCTCACCTGCACATTCCACTCCAGCTACACCAGCTCCCGCTGTCTTAAAACCCAGTGTTCCCACCCCAGGGCCTTTGCACTTGCCATTCTCTCCATTTATAGGGCTCCTCTCACACCCTTCCTGAGTGTCCCTTCCAGTCCTTCTGGCCGTGGCTCACATGGCACCTCCCTGAGGAGGCTGTCCTTGACCACCTTCTCTGAGCTACTCCCACTGTCTCAATCACCCCTCTTTCTTTTTTCTTTAATAAGGTGTAATTCACGAACCACAAAACTCACCCTTCTAAAGTGTGCTTTCGACAGTGGGCAGCTCACTGGTTCCTAGTGTAGTCACGGGGTTGGACGGCCACCACCACCACCTAGTTCCAGACTGTTTTCAACATCCCCCACAGAACCACCTCCCACTAGCCGTGGCTCCCTGGTCCCCTCCCCTTGGCCCTGGCCACCACCCATCTCCTTCCCGTCTGTGGAGTCACCTGCTCTGGGCATGGGTGGCAGCTAGTCGTGCGGCACGTGGCCCTCGGGTCTGGCTCCTTTCCCTTAGCGTGATGTCCAGGGCTCGCCCGAGCCCTGGTGGTGACTCAGTGACTCCTTTTATGACTGAGTAACGTCCCTGGCTTGGATATGCCACACGGGGCTCACCCGCCCGTCAGTCATGGACGGTTGGCTTGTGTCCCCTCTGACTATTGCGGATAACGCCAGGGCACATCACTGGGTCATGTGGTAACTCGTATTTAACCCTTAGAGCCCCGCCAGGCTGGTGTTCAGAGACGGCCGCCCTTTGCATTCCGGGGAGCCTCCAACTTCTCCACAACTTCGTGAACTAACACTGTCTAACCGCCATCCTGGTGGGCATGAAGTGGCACTTCATGGTGATTTGTTTTTCTTTTCCTTTCTTTCTTTTTTGGGGACTGAACCCAGGGAAGCTTTACCACCAACCTTCATCTCCAGCTTTTTATCCTTCATTTTGAGGCAGGGCCTCCCCAAGTTGCCTGGGCTGGACTTGAACCTGCGGTCGTCCTGCCTCAGCCTCCCGACTGAAGGTGTGCACCACCTGCCCCAGCCTCATTGTGACTTGAGTTCGAGGGTCTTGGCATCTGTCACTTGTGCATCCCTTGGAGAAACACCTGCTCAGATCCTTCCTTCATTTTAATTTTTGTTCATTTCTGGTGCTGGGGAGGGAACCCTGGCTTCATGCTTGCTGGCTGGCTCTGCCGCGGGCCACACGCCCAGCCCGTCATTAATGATTACACCAGGTTGCTTTTTCACCGTTGAGCTGGGTCTCGGGCTTTATTTTTGTCATCAGAATTGCCACTCTGCGGCCGACTTTTCTGTCTTGCTTTTGTCTTGTCTTCCAAGGCCCTGCTCCCTGCTGTCTCCAGCGCCCTGCCCGGGACCTGCTTGGGGTGAATATCTCCCTGTCCCTGCATCCTCTCAGCAGCTGGGGCCGGACTTTCCACACCCTGTTGCTCTGATAACTCTGAGACAGGGTCCTCACCTGGGCTAGGGACTTCCATGGGGTCCACTGTGAACACCTGCCCCACGATACAGTGAGGCTTGCTGTGTGATCCTGAGTGCAGCTTAGCGCAGGGTCCCTGCCGCAGAGGGGTGGAGAGGATGGGAAGCCTGCGGCCGGGCCTCGAGCGGTGCGAGTCTGAGCGTAGTAGTTACTCACTGCTGCGCAGCAAACGTAGCAAACGCTGTGCACTTAGCAGCTTCAACTAGAGCCTGCCAGGAGCCCCAGGTGGGGCTGAGTCCTGCGATTGGAGGTTGGAGCCACGGGGCTCTCTGTCGGAGGCCCAGGAGGCTGAGGCTGAGGCTGAGGTGGCCGCAGCCTCCTTTCCTTGGAAGCTCAAGGGAGGGTCTGGCGTTGGGTAGGTTAGGGACCTACGTCCATGCTGCTGTCAATCAAGGTCCACTCACGGCTCCTGGGGGCCACTCACGTTCCCTGCCCTGGGGTCCCTACCAGCCTCGAAGCCAGTGACAGACTTCCCATGTCCCCTCCCACTTAGGCTTCGAGTCTCTCTGCCGGGAAGAGCCCTGTCCTGTGGTCAGGTTGGGCCACCAAGGGAAATGTGCCTTCCTTCAGGTCCACTGCACCACACTCAGTGTGGTCCCTGCTCAGTCCCCAGTGTCCCCCCTCGCACAGGGTGTGGTGGCTGAGCATGCGGACCCCACCCAGGGGCTGGCTGACTGGCACACACGACCTCCCTGCCCTGCTCCGCCAGCGCCCACGCCCGACACCTGGCCTGGCGTTGCTGCCCCAGGCGCCTCAGGTTCGGAGCTGGCGAGGGGCAGTTGGGGGCAGCAGACTGCTCTCTCTCATCCCTGTGGACAGGGCAGGGTGTGAGGTGACCGACACCCTGGTCCAGGCCGGCTCAGAAACTCCTGCTGCTGTGGGGTGTGGAAACTCCTCCCGCCTGCAGGGAGGTGGTCGCCTGCTGGATGCCCAGCCTCCGTGTCCACCCACAGTCCACTCTCTGCACAGCAGCTCCACCTAAGCCAGGTCCCTCCACTGCTCAAAACTTTTCCATGGCTCCCACCTCAAAGAGAAAGCAGAAGTGCTCCCACACCAGATGACTCTGGTCCTGCCCCCCCTCGGATCTCAGCACCCACTGCTGCCCCTTGCCCCCTAAGTCCAGCCATACCAGCCTCCTACTGTCCTTTGAACATGTGTGATCCAACCACAGGGCCTTTGCACTTGCCGTTCTCTCTCCCTGGAAAGCTCTTCCAGTTACCCGAGTGCCTTCCTCCCTCAAGGCCTCCAGGTCCCCGCTGCCATGGTGAAGCCTGTCCTGACCTCCCCACTGACCTCCCCACACTGGCATTCTTCCTCTCCTTCCTCACTTTACTAAGTGCTGTGGGTTTTGCAGGCGACCTGGCGAGCCTCCCCTGGACCTGGGCAGCATCCCCTGGTTGGGCCACGCCTTGGAGTTTGGGAGAGATGCGGCCAGCTTCCTCGCTAGGATGAAGGAGAAGCACGGCGACATCTTTACCGTAAGTGCCTCTGGGGGGAGGGGGGCAGTGCCTTGAACTCTGCCAGCCCCCACCTGCACCAGCACCGCACCCCACCCCCAGTCTGTCTGTCTGTCCAGCTGTGCTTCCCTTACCTCCGACCCTCGGTGTCCCCCAGCCTCTTCCCACACTGAGCTGCGCGGACCTTCAGGGTCTACCACACCCGGCGTCCGTCCAGCTGCCGGTCCACTCGGCTTCCGACTGTCCAACATCCGGCTACGCGTCCCTCCCTCCTGCCTTCCCACCCACGGCTACCCAGCACCCTCCACCCAACACCCCGCGGTGGTCCTCCGCCTCCTGCCCCAGCCTCTCCCCGTACCCACAAGGTCCCTGTCCGCCTCCCAACACTTACTCAGCATCCTCAGTCCTGGCCACGTCGCCCGGCTTTCTAGCCCAGAGTCGGTCCACCCACCCCTGTCACCCGCCTGCACAGCTGCGCGCGCCCTGCCCATCCCTGTCGGCTCTGCGCCGTCCAGGCCTCCGCCCTCCCAGGCCTCCACCTGCCCAGGCCTCCGCCCGGCCCCTGCACACCTCCCTCCAGCCTCCCGGACCCCGCTCCCCCTTCCACCACTGCGGTCACCCCTGGGCCCCACATTTATCCACACATTTAGCTTCCACCCGTCCGCTGGCTGCCCACCCCGTCGCAGACCAGCGTGGGGTCCCTGAGCCCCCTGCACCCCTCACCCCCGCAGCCCGCCCACCGTCGTCTCCCTCCCGCGGCCCCTCACGAGGTCCTGGGCCTGCGCGGCCTTCCGCAGGCGACCCCGCGACGCGCCTGGCCAAGGTGACCCTGCCGGCGCCTGGTTAGGACGCAGCCCTTGGTTTTAGAAAGCCCTGCCTTCAGCCCTGGCCCTGCCCCTCGCGGCCGTGACATCTCGGGCACTGGGCATCTGCGCTGTGAGCCTCCGGTTGGTGGCACCCGTGGGCTGGCGACCGTCCCTAGCTCACGGTGGCGGTGGCGGAGGGGAGATGAGAACGAGGTCGCGCCTCAGGGGTGGCGGCCCTGGGAGCCGCTGTATTCACGCCCCCCCCCCCCGCAGGTGCTGGTGGGGGGCCGGCACGTCACGGTGCTCCTGGACCCCCACTCCTACGAGAGGGTGGCATGGGAGCCGCGCTCCCGGCTGGACTTCCACTCCTACGCCACCTTCCTCATGGAGAGGATCTTCGACGTGCAGCTCCCGCACTACAGCCCCACCGAGGAGAAGGCCCGGATGAGACCGTGAGTGGCCGGACGCCCTGGGCGCAGGCGGGTGGTGCGGGCTGCACCGCAGGTGCCCAGCGCAATGGGTTTTGAGGACCAGAAACCCCCGGGAAACTAGGCGGAGCCCGGGCCCCGCACCTGCCGTCCCTGCCGCCGCCGCCAGGTGCCGCTGCTGAGCAGGCCACGGCCATCGGGTCCAGGTCCCCAGGAGCCTTGGACGAGGACCGCCTCCCCTCCCGGCCCCTCTCCCCCATCCCGCGCAGTGTGGAGCCTGCCCCGGGAGGGGCTGAGGGCCCCCACTTCTGCCCACACTCCCAGGGCTGTTCTGTCCTCCGACTCGGGTCCACGTGATGGGACCAGGTCACCAGCCCCTTCCTTTGCCTCATGTCACCCTCACTGGGGTCCCCTCTCAGAGCAGCCCTTGGTCAGGGGACACTGTAGCTGAGCAGACAGGACCCCTCACTCCAGGGTTGGCCTCTTAGTTCCTGCTCTTCCAGAGGCGGGGTTCCTTGGCCCAGCTCCAGTGCCCAGTCGGGATGGTCTGCCCAGGTGCGGCTCACAGGCCCTGCAGCCACACACAGGTTTCAGTCCCAGCTGTCACGGCTGTGTGGCCTTGGGCGTGTCCCATTCCTCTCTGTTCCGAGATGGGCACCGTGGATGGGCGAGTGTGGACTGGGCCTCTGTGTCCAGCACTGTAAAGCACTGCTGTGACAGGTGCCAGGCCAGCTGCCGCTGGGACGTGGCCTGGGGCCTGGGGGGAGCTGCGGGCGCGGGTGTCCCCCTGGGAGCCAGGCTCTCACGCTGCCCTTGCCCGGCTCAGGACGCTCGTCCACAGAGACCTGCAGGCGCTCACGGAAGCCATGTTCACCAACCTCCGCTCCGTCCTCCTGGGCGACGCCACGGAAGGGGCCAGCGGCTGGCGGGAGGTGGGCCTCCTGGACCTCTGCTACGGCTCCCTGCTCAGGTGAGCCCCAGAACCTTGTCCTGGGTGGGGCCTGACCCTCTGGATCTTCGTCCCCGCGGGCAGGGCTGAGTGAACCGTGAGCACTCTGGGCGGGGGCGGTTTGGGATGCCCACCGATGAAGGAAGGACCCTGTGCACCTGAAACTCCAAGGTCACCTGATCCAGGCTGAGCCGAAAATCAGGCACGGCTGAGAAAGGGCCCTGCGGTCACCTGGAGAGGGGGTAGCCCAGCAAGACTCCGAGGCACCTGTCCTGTGGCTCCCACCTTCTGGGATTTCGCAGGCCGGGAAACAGGGTGCTGGGAGCCCAGCAGGCCCTCGGCCGAGGTCAGACCTCCTAGACTTGTGAAAACGGCAGGGCCGAGCTCTGTGCCGCAGTGGTGCCCAGCCGTCTTGGGCTCTGGTTTACAGCAGGGACAAGACAGATGGACTCTGTATGCCAGAGAGCGATGGACGTGGGGACAGAGTCCCACGGGCGGCAGCCCCTGGGCAGCGTCAGCCAGACTGATGAAGGGCCTCTCTGAGGATCCAGCCTCAGAGCGGAGACCTCACGACAGGGTACCCACTACCCATGCCAAGGGCCTGGCAGGGGACTTGGCAAATGGAAAGGCCCAGACGTGGGATTCCTAGGGAGCCCGAGTGGCTGGAGCAGAACTGGTTCAGGGACAAGGTGGAGAAGTCACATAGCCGGTCTCACAGAGCTCGAGGCCAGGAAGGGCTTCCGGGTTTGCTCTCAGTAAGATAGAGCGACGTTAGGGGTTAGGCTGGGGCAAGACAGGACCGGCTCAGGGGTTTACAGCTGCCTTGGCTGTGATTAGAGACCAGACCTCGGGTGGGGGAGGGGCGGTGGTGAAGGTGGAGGTGGGAAGCGCTGGGTGTGATGGCTCCTGGGTTAAGCCTAAGGTGAGGGTGTTTGTGAAAGTGCCTCCTTAACTTTCTGCCTGTGAGTTCACGCCCCACCGTGGCCCAGTCTCCCTCCCGCCAGGCACGCGCCCCACATCAGGAGTTCTGTTCCCTTGCCTGGGAATGCTGTTCCCCACATGTCCATGTGGCTCCCTCCTCACTTCAGTCAGTTCGTCTCCAGTGCCAGCTGCCCAGAGAGGCCTGTTGGACACCCAGGTCATCAACATGAAGACTCCTGTTGTCCATCTGGGTCCATTTTTTAATGGAACCTGGCGCCACCTAGGGGTCGCCTGTGTATTTACGCATGCCGGCGCTGTCTGCTGGGCGTGATGTTGGAACCAGGTGCCACGGAAGGGCCTTCCACAGCGTGAGGCCCCGTGGTCCCCTGGGCTCGTGTGCTTGGCTGTTCTTTGTCGCCTGTTTTGGTGGGACTGGCTCTCTGCCTTAGGGAAAACAGCAGAGCCCGGAAGATAGGGACCCAGGTGCTTAGCCGTACTTTAAACCCGTGACAGACCCGGGCCAGGTGAGGTCCGTGGTTGCCTGGCGAGCACCTGCTGTCTAGAAGAAGTGGCCGTGGTGCTGCCCTGCCGGGGTCCAGCGGGCCGTGGCCAGCTTCCTTTCTAGCAGTGACTGGGAGACCCAGGTTTTGCCCTGGTTTCTTCTGACGTCTGAGCGCAGGTTCAGCCGGGGTTCAGGTGGCCTCTGTGGATCCCACGGAGCGTCCAGGTGGTGGGCTGCCTCCTTGCAATGTCTGCCATGAGCAAACCGAGGGCCTTAATCTGCAGAGGGGCCCAGGCCTGCCGTGCGTGGAGGGGAGGGGGAGCCCGGCGGAGGCACAGGGAGCTCCGGTGGGCTGGACCAGGGGGTTCGTGGGGAGGGCTGGCTTCCCCTGTCCAGTGGGGTGAGCAGGTAGTGAGGTCCCCATCCCTGGGGGCATGGAAGCCAACACAGGCAGAGGGGGGGTGAGTGGGATCGGCAGGGGTGGGGGTGGAATGGGGGTTGGTGGCTCGGCTCCTAATTGTGGTGACCCGTCATTCTCTCATGGTCGGGGCTCTCAGGGTTCTGTTCTGACCCTGTCCTTCTGTCCGTCTGCCCACCCACCATGCGCTCCTCCACCCACCCACCAACGTGTCGAGGCCACCCTGGGCCTGTGCTGTGCTAGTGAGGGACAGAGTGGTCCCTGTCAGCCCCCCTTCCCGCATGCCTGCTCCCCCCTGTCCCCAGCTGGGAGGACCTCTGTCCTGGGAGATCTAGGGGATGAGGTCAGGGGGTAGGGGAGCGAGGGACAGGAGGTTGGGACCTCAGTGGTGGCTCTCTGCCACGGCCGCAGCCCTTCTCATGTGGAAAAAGTGAAAACCTGCGGTTTCCCTCCCAGGACTGAGGCCAGGGCCTGGGGCTGGCACCGGGCGCCTGGGGCACTGGAAAGGGCTTGAGGGGGCATTTCCCCTGAGGTGGCCCCACAGGTGGTGCGTTGCTGCTCGCACACCTGAGCATGTCGGCTCGCACACCTGGCCCAGCCTGGCTGAGCTCAGACCTCCCGAGGTCCCTCAGCTCCCGCATGGGCTTCTCCCATTCCATGTCCCCTCTGCCTTGCAAGACCCCTGGACACCTCCCAGGCCCCGTCCCTAGCTCCGGTGCCTGCCAGAGACACCCAGCAACTCTGGGCAGGCCTCCGCTGCCCCTCAGCCCCTGGCCTTGGCCCAGGCTGCGCCCTCTGCCTGACACCTCGCCTCCCCTGGCCCCTTCTCCAGGAAGCCTGCCCCGACCCCCTCCTGGGACGGTTTCTCCTGTCCCCACTGGTGCCCCATCTCACCCCTCGCCTCCCCCACCCCAGCCTCCTTACTGCTTCATCACTTCTGGCCCTTGCTGCCCAAGAAGTCTGCCCCGGGTCTGCCCCGGGTCTGCCCCAGGTCTGCCCCTTTTTATCTCTCAGCTCCACTGGGAGCCGCCCCACAGGCGCCCCTGCTGCTGCCCGCCTGAGTCTGCCTGTGTCTGCCTGTCATCCGTTTGCCTCATGCTGCTCTTTGCCTGTTCAGTTTTCTCTTGGGGTGGTGAGTGTGCGCCCAGGCACTTCACCATGAGCTGCATCCCCAACCCTTTTTGCTTTGAGACACGGCCTCGCCAAATTGCCGAGGCTGACCTTGAACTTTCGAGCCTCCTGCCTCAGCCTCCTGAGTCACTGGGGCTGCAGACACGCACCATGGAGCTGGCGCACATGGTGTTTCCACTGCCTTCCTGCTTCCTCTGTCCCCACACCGTAGCGGGAGTCCACGGGACAGGGCTCTGGTCTGTTCTTAAAGTCGGTTCTGGGTCAGGAACATGCCCTGGCACACAGGAGGAAGACCAGGAGCTCCTTGGGGGAAGGAGTGAAGACAATTTAGAGGCCACCAGGGGGCGAGGCCGTGTGTGTCCCCCAGGACCCTGACCTGCTTCTGTCGCCCCAGAGCCGGCTACCTGACCCTGTATGGAGTGGAGGCGTCCCCACACACCCAGGAGAGCCAGGCCCAGGACAGAGCCCACTCGGCCGACGTCTACCACACCTTCCGCCACCTGGACCTGATGCTCCCCAAGCTGGCGCGAGGCTCCCTGTCAGTGGGTGAGCACCCGGGGGTCCCTGTGGGTGGTGGGCAGGCAGAAGGAGTCAGAGGTCTGAACACAGGGGCCACACAGGAGGAGGGTGCAATGTCCTCGGGGGCGGGGAGGTCCCCACTGTGGGGTGGGGACCCCGCGGGGCTTGGGCCAGGTGGGCTCCTGGTGGGAACTCTAGCTCAGCACTCTGGGGTGGGGCCTGGGAGTGTTCGTGTGTTCTTTCTCTTGTTTTAAGTTGCTTTTTAAGAAATTTGCAAGTAGTTCATGCTTGGTATCGAAACTCAAGCCACGCAGAATGATCTGAGGGAGCAGTAAGGGTCCCCCACTTTCTCCCATCCCCACCCGCTCCAGCCCTCCTCAGAGGTCAGCACCAGGACTCCCCGGGAGCAGCCCTGCAGCGCCTCTCCACACAGGTGCCCACCCCCACGCACACACACACGCACACACACATGCACACGCACACACACAAACACACAGAGCCGTGAATTATTTTTATTGTTTTCTTTTTTTGCTACCGGGGATTGAACCCAGGGCACTCGACCACCGAGCCACATCCCAGCCCTTTTTGTATTTTATTTAGAGACAGCGACTCACTGAGTTGCTCAGGGCCTCGCAAAGCTGCTGAGGCTGGCTTTGAACTTGCGATCCTCCTGCCTCAGCCTCCCGTCCACTGGGGTCACAGGCGTGCGCCACCCTCTGGCCTGTTCACTCAGGCCTTTCCTCTCTGTCTACTGAGGTCTCATTAGCGCCCCACTTGCCCTCAGAACCAGTCACGTGCATCCAGCTTCTTCACTGAGGTTGTTGGTTTGCCAATCTGATGGGCAGGGGCTGGTGGCTTATTGTTTCGATTTGATTTTTGTCACAACCTTGTCAACATGCCGTTAGCAAGTTAAGTCCTTCCAGTCTGACGTGGGAAAGGGGCCTCTCACTTTTGTGGCATTTCCCTGGCTGCGGGGATGACACTTCTTTTAGGTCTCTCTCACCGTTTTGTGAGCTGTCATCCGTGTCAGCCTCTTAAACACAACTCATTGTCTTATTGCGCCCTCCTGTCATTGCTGGAAGATTGGTATTTCAGGGCCCACTGTGCATATCAGGAAACTGAGGCTCAAAGGCGAGAGCACTTGTCAAGACCAGTTGGTGGGTGGCTGCGCCAGGGCTGGACACAGGAAGGCTGCATTTCCCAGTGTGGGCGGCAGGTGGCAGTGCTGGGGGACAGTTTCTCTTGGATGAGGCCAGAAGCCTGCGTGCATTGTGGGGCCTGGGCAGCTTCCCCCATCCCTGGACTCCATTTAGGCAGGAAGGACCAAAACATAGAAAGCACACCCTTTGCTCCTGTACCTCCTCTGTGCCTACAGATCCACAAAGTATTGTCCCATTGCCTGTGACAGCAAAGGTGGAGACAACTTGAATGTCCGCCGGTCGGGACAAGTTACCTGAATCCTGAGATCACATAAGAGCAAGCTGGGCTACTGTGAAACCAGGCATAGGGTGGCCCCCAGGAGGGAGAGCCAGGGTGGTGGCCGAGGACGCCCCTTAGGATTTCACTGGGGGACTGCAGACTTGCTTTGGGCGTGCTGAGCTGGGTGGAGAGAGGCCTCTTTCCCAGCAGGCCAACTTATGTTCATTGTTATTATTTTTTTCCGTGGACGTGTGTTAGTCCTGTTAAAATATAGACATTTTAAAAGAAGATGAAATCTGGGTCTTCTCCCACCCAGGGAGTTGTGGGCCGAGGGCAGCTGAATGGACCCCAGAGCTGAGACTGGTGCTTCTTTCGGGAACATTCGTTTTCCCGGGGCACTTGGGGCTGTTATTTGAACTTTTGGGGGGGAAGATCTTATATCAAAGAGCCATAGATTCTGATGCAAAACTCCAGCATATTTTAAAAGTTAAATGCAAGACTTAGGGCCTGTTGTCCCCGGGCTCCCTGGACTGGTCATCCAGATCTCCAGGGCCCAGAGGGTTTCCAAGGAGAAACCTGAGAGGACAACCTGGGTCCTCGTTTTATGACAGGGACATGGAGATGGGCGGGGCCTCGGCCAGGCCCACACAGCTGGGAGTCTGCGCCTTGTGCTCCAGGTCCCCGGCCCCCTGTGCTCGGCCTGTAGGCACGGGCGAAGGTGGCAGTGGTCTGTGTTGCTTGTGAGTCACTGTAAAGCGGTGTCCGCAGCGTGTGCAGGATCGCAGCCTGGCTGGGCCTCGGGGTGCGGGCTGTTTCTCAAGCCAACGTTCTCTGCCTCCCTGTCTTGCTATCCCACTGGGTGGCACCACGAGCACCGTGAGGTGGTGTCCACATTTCCTGGGCCTCCGAGTCACCTGCTGAAATCCCTAGACGCCCAGGCTGGGCCCCAGTGATTCTGACAGCACAGGCCTGGGGTGGGACCCGGGCACCTGGGCATTCGGGAGCTCCTGGGTGATTCTTTAAAGTACCGAGAAAGTTGGGAAGCAGGAAAGCGGCGTGTTTCCGGTGAGCCTGGGGACCCGGGGCTTCAACAGGAAAGCACTGCGCCTCCTGCAGTGTGTCACGAATTTGAGGGAAAACACTGGGCCTGCTATTTGAAAATGCAGCCAAAACACTGAAGCAAACAAAAGGTCTAGGCGCCCCCCCACCCCGTTTTCCCTGCTCGCGAATCCCCCAGACAGCAGGGCCCGGGAGGAAGCCCTGGGGGGGGTGCACCTGAAACAGCCCCTGGTTCAGACGCTCAGGGAGAAAGTTCCAGCGCTTTGAAACGTCCTGGCAACGCTTTCCCTTGGTGGTTTTGGAGGAGACCAAAGTTGATATTCGTGATGCAGAGTCACGTGTGGCTTAGTGACAGGAGGTATTCTGAGAAAGGCGCCATTAGGCGATTGTGCCTTGCACAACCAGGGCACAACCAGGACGTCACTGGGAGGTAATTGGACAGGACTCTGTCCTGTACGTGGCCTCGCTGACTGTGGCCCTGTTGGGCAGGCACGGCCCTGTACCCCAGCCCAGGATGGCCCGTAGCCTGCCGACCCCGCGGAGGGGGAGTCACCCTGGGTGGGTCCTCAGGTGCCGTCTGGACTCCCAGCAGGCTCGCGCCTGGCCCTTCTTTGTACTGAAGACCTGTGTTTATTTCCACTGTCTCGTGGCTTTTCCGGTGTAAACCCCCACTGTTTATTTACTGTCCCATTGCAGGGTGTGCTTGGGCAGGGTTGGCCACCAGAGATGCTTTGTGGCCTGCACAGTGACTGGCCATCTTAGATGCTGACCTTAGAAATGCTAGAAGCGGCTGTGGTGTGGCTCAGGGGAGAGCACGTGCCTGGCGTGCAGGCCGGGGCTTGGTCCCCAGCACGGCACAACTCCTGTCACCAGAAGGTTCCACACACTCCTGGGTTTTCAGCTGCTTTTGAGAACAGGCCCGAGGCCCACGCTGGAGCCACGGCCTGGCTCGAGCTCCCCGGGCTGCTTCTGGGCCTCCCTCCATAGGACTTTTACCTGGAGGTGTGGAGTTTGGGATCCCCAGTCAGTGCGTCCCCTCCCTAGGCAGTGTGGCCCTCCGGTCCTGCTCTGTGTGTCCTGCTGGCGCTGCTCTGGGGGGGTCCCGGGAGGGGTGCAGGCTGCTGAGTCTTCAGTCGCTCTGGTGGGGGTGACGTGAAGAGTCACCTTTCTTTTAAGACTATTTATTGAGCATCTGGTACGAATGCTAGACTCGGGCCTTGGGAAAGGTGGGGTGATAGAGTATTCCAGGCTCTGGGGACACAGGTGACTAAAGCAGAGTCCCCCCTTTCCATGGAACCAAGGTGCACAGTGAGCAGGTCACCCTGGACGGGCCTCCCCTTGGCTTCCAGCCACAGCCTCGCTCCCTGCAGAACTTCCCACCTCCAAGGAGTGACGCCCAGGAGACCCACAGCCTGTGGGAGGCCAGGGCTGGCCGGCCCCAGTTCGGGGGTGGACCTGTAGCCCTTGTCTTCTGTGCTCTGTCCCCGCAGCGGATAAGGACCGTGTGTGCAGCGTCAAAGCCCACCTGTGGAAGCTGCTGTCCCCCGTCCAGCTGGCCACTCGGGCCCAGCGGAGCAGCTGGCTGGAGAGCTACCTGCGGCACCTGGAGGAGCTGGGGGCATCGGAGGAGATGCAGGCGCGGGCCCTGGTGCTGCAGCTGTGGGCCACACAGGTGAGCAGGCGTGCGCGGGGACAGGCGTGGGCTTGTGTGGTGAAAGTGCATGCGTGTGCAGGTGGGCAGGCACGGTGTGGCTGTGGGTGTGTGCTGTGAGCACGTGCGGTCGGCGCACGCCTGGTGCACACGCCCCGCCTGCCCGTTCCCTGACTTCCCGGCACAAGCAGACGAGCAGGCTCCTGCCTCCGTGTTCTCTTTGGGACGATGCCACACTTACAGAAAAGCTTTATGAACAGTTTGGTGAACTCTAGTGCCACATTGCTGATTCCCCAGGTTTCCACCTTCCCGCGTTTCCTTTCTCTGTCCCTCCCTGTGACCCTCCCTGTGATCCTCGATTGAGTCATTGTGAATTAGCATCAAGACTCTGCCCCAGTGGCTTCGGGGCGTCTCCTGGGAGCAGAGGCCTGCTGCCCGTGACCACAGCTCAGCTGCACCGGGAGCCCAGGAACAGGATTGCTGTCTACTCGTCCACGTTCCTGTGAGGTCCAAGTGTCCTCTGGCTCGTGGGCCAGCGTCACAGGCTGCACCAGCCCCTCTGCCCCTCTAACCTGGCAGTTCGACCCTTTCACTGTTTTCCACAACCTTGACGTTTTTGCGGCTTGCAGACCACCTTTCTTGCAGAGTCTTTTAAAAGTCCCATTGAGTGCTCCCCTCAAGCCGCGAGATCCGCCTTGTCTTGCTTAGGTAGTGGTCAGGGTCGGGCAGGGAGCAGTCGAGGAAACCTGCAGGACGATTTTAGAGGCTGGTGTACAGGATATGAAACCGCTGTGAATAGAGCCGTCCAGGGAGTCCACTCCAGCCACGGTGGGCAGGGAGGACATGTTTGAATTGCTTCCTGGATGACAAGAATGCTAGACTTGGGGCCTTGGGAAAGGAGGGGCAATAGAGTATTCCAGGCAAGGGAAACAGCAAGTGCAAAGGCCCTGGGGCTGCATCCGCCAGGTGCTGGGGCAACAGCAAGGAGTGTGGCTGCGGCAGTGAGTGAACAGGACAGACTCAGGGCAGAGGTCCTGGGCGGGTTGTAGGGCTTTTTCTTCCCCATTTTTATTGGTGCGTTATAATTATATAAAGTATCAGGAGTCATTGTTACATATTCATACGTGCACTTGACGTAATTTAATTTGGTCACCGTTGTTCCCTAGGATCCCCTCTCCCCTTGCTCTGTCCTGTAGGTCTCATGGGGCTTGGGATTTCCTCTGGGTGAGGCAGGAGCACAGGAGGAACGGGACCTTAGGGACAAGGGCAGGAGCAGGGACAACGAGGAGAGAGGTGGCAGGGTCAGGGGTGGCCATGAAGCTCTCGAGGAGATGGATGGACCCGGGGCACTCGGGGACAGCAGAGCTGGGAATGGTAAGGGCCAGCTGTTGGGGTGGGGGTGGCCTTGGTGCCGGTCCGGCCTGTTCTGCTCTGGCTCTGGAGCCCCCCTTTCCTCTTGCTCGTCCCTGGCAGTGACAGTCACACAGGCTGACATTTCTGGGCAGTTCCTCTGCCATCGACTTGTGACTTATTTTTAGTGCTCTCTCAGAGCCATTAACTGTCCTCGAGGCCCAGGCTGGGGGTGCCTTCAATCAGGGCTCCCCCATTAGTGCCTGATGACATATTTATGGGCTGAGATGACTCTGCGCTCCAAGCTGTCCCCAGAGCCCGTGGAAGTGCCCTGTGTCAGCAGAACTGGGGCTGGCTGGGGGCTCAAGTGGCAGAGTCCAGGGAACAGCCTTGGTGGGGCCGGGAGAACCGGGCAGGAGTGGGGACATATGTGGCGGTCAGGCCGGTGGGGACCTTCGCGGCCTGAGCATTGGGAGCAGGGAGCAGGGCCTGGAGGCCGAGCAGCCTGGTGGCCGGGGCCCCAGCTTGGTGACCCGCTGCCTGGGCTGGGGTGACTTCACCACTTCCTGTCTCAATAGTCCCCGGTCCCCCGCCCCCACCCCGTCCTTTAGTCAGCACCTCCCCCAGGGAGGGTCGGGAGGAGGGAGGAGGGAGGAGGGTGTGGGCTGGCCCAGCAGGCGGCAGGGGCTCAGCAGACACCTGGGAGGCCTGGAGAGCCGTGTGCTGGGGGCAGAGGAGCCAGCAGGGAGGCCAAGTGGCTGGTCTGGACGACGGGTGGAACCCTGGCAGGGTGTCCGAGGAGATCCAGGGTTTGGTCTGAGTGACGGACGGGCCAGGAAGGGTGGAGGTGCCATTAACAGACGGGAGGACGGTGGGGAGCAGCCCTGGGAGCAGCCGGGGGCCTTTGGTGGCTGAGGGGCGGGGTGGGGCCACCGGGAGAAGGCAGCCTGAAGCTCAGGGCCGGGTGCAGGCTGAGATGCAGCTGTAGGACGTGACCGTGATGCCACCATGCTGGCAGAGCTCTGTGGGTGAGGGTGGAGGGAGAAGGGGCCCAAGCCCTGGGCTCCCCAGCTGTGAGGGTGGGAAAGAGCAGAGGAGCCAGCAGGGAGGCCAAGAATGGTGGCCAGGGAGGCGGGGAGGCCAGGCAGGAGCGTCCCGGGGCAGTGGTGACGAGCTGCCCAGAGGCTGCGAGGGTTGAGAACCAGTGTCCACCACGCGGCTGTCAGACCCGAGGGTGAGTGGGGGTGGGGCTTCAAAAGCTGTTGACCACGTCCCTCGGACGTGTCCCGTTGGCCACTTTGCACACATCACCTCCCGAGCTCCTCATGAGGCTCCATGGAGCCGGGACCCCAGAGTCCGGAGTAAGACAGGAGGGGGCAGTGGGGGTCCAGCATCCAGGGGGCGGCAAGCAGGGGCGCCCTGGGCGACAGCTAAGTCACCGCAGCTGAAGAGGAGAGTCAGGTGGGGGTGCCGAGGGAGGTGAGTGGGGGCCCACACGGTGGGGGGCTCAGGGCAAGCTCCCCGCCAGCTCAGAACCACAGCCCCACCTGTCCCCATGCGGCCCTCCTGTGCTGGGACCTCCTGAGGCCCCGAGGGAGGCGTGGGGGCTGCAGGCTGCGGTCTGCGGACAGCGCAGTCAGCGCACAGAGAACCCGAGACCCGCGCCGCACGGCAAAGAGCCGCACAGGCCCTGCGTCAGGACGTGCAGATCCGCAGCCCTGCGCTGGCCCGGCCGGCGCTGGGACCTTGCACAGTCACGTCGGGTTTCTGAGCTCCAGTTGCACCCCGTGAAGGGGGTTTTTCCCCTTCAGTAGTTTTATTTGGAAACAGTCTTGGATCGTGGAAGAGCTGCAGAGAGCGCAGGGGATTCCAGACACCTCCTGCCCAGGCTTCCCGTCTGCGGCCACGCAGCCCTCTCAGCTGACCTTGCCCAGCCGCGTTGCTGTTATTTAAAGTCCCTGCTTGATTCAGATCTTCCCGGGTTTTCCAGGATCCAGTCAGGATGCCACCTTGGAGGTTGGGTTTTGTCTAAGTAGACTGTAGTAGAGAGCAATTTTAAATTTTAGTGGAAAGGGCTGGGATTGCCCTGCAGCCCCTCCCCCACCCCGTGGTACATTTGTTACAATGTATGAGCCACCTGCATACATTGTTGTCACACTGAGGGTGTGTTTTTATTCCCTTGACATTTTTTAAAAATCACAAATTAAAAGAAATGCCCCCATGACCTTCCATCCTCCTGTCACCTTGGCTGCACCCTCAGGGGGCTTCCCCTGTGTGGTGGCCTCGATGGCACTGGCGGCGCCAGGCAGTTTTGTGATCCCCGAGGAGGAGGGCTTGTCGTCCCCGTGAGAACTGCACGAATCCAAATCTGATGCTCACACCTGCCCAGCTGGGTCCCCTGTCCCCTCTGAGTGGCTCGTGCAGTGCCCTTCCTGGGTCCCACGCCCACCCTGGGGTCTAGGGGGAAGGGCTGGGCCCCCATGATCTACATGGACATGGGGTGAAGCCGAGGAGAGTGGGTGCTGCCCCCTGAGGACGAGAGAGCGTCTGCAGGACAGGTAGGCAGCAGGTGCCGGTCACCACTGGTGGTGCAGCCAGGGGGCCTAGGACGGGCGGGACCCTGAGTGACTGCTGTGACACAGAGCAGCAGCCCCTGGTCTCGGGCTTCCCCGCAGCAGGAAGGAACTGGCTGAGGCAAGGCCCCACGGGAGCGAGTGCGACCTCCGGGGAGCTGAACTCGGGATCCCTTGTGTGGCCACACTCGCGTGCTTGCACACACGCACGCTCACGCACATCTGTGCGGTTGGGTGGGACGCCCGTCTTGCTGTGTCCTGGGAGCCCGAGGGTTCCCCTCCCGCTGGGGTCCCCTTTGATCCTCCAGGTGGCCCCTTTGATCCTCCAGGCAAGATAACAGGGCCTTGGCGGGAGCTCGCCAGCGCTGAATTATTCACCACCCACACTCCCCGGGCCAGCGGGCCAGCGGCCATCAGTGATGGACAGGGAGGGGCCTGGCAGTCTCAGCCTGCTGTCCCCACTTGTGCTCAACCCTGGGGAGGGGCGGGCGTCACAGTGGTGTCCCCTGGAGCTCCCCGCTCTGTGCTCGGGGCCATGTGACCACACGTGGGGTCACTTGCACCAGGCTCGGCAGCCCTGTGGCCACCCGGAGGGGTCTCTTATCACCCTCAGGCCGGGCTTGGTTCTAGCCTGGAGTCGGAGGTGACTCTTAAGAGTCACGAGCTGGGATGGCCCAGCTGCCCTGGTCTCCGTCTGGTGTCTTGGCGACCTGTATACGCTGGGTGGTGAGAGCCAGGAGGACCCCTTTATTCTCCTCTTCAATAAAGGCCCTGATGGTGGCGCCTGCTTGATGGCCGGGTGGCGCGGGGGAGAGGCGCCTCCTTAGTGCTGAGCGCGCAGACAGAAGGACAGGAAGGCATCTCCATCCCCAGGCTCCGTGTGACCCTTTACAGCCCTTCCCTGTGTCTCCTGGGGGACGATCCCACCCTGGCTCTCACTCCGCCTTCTGCTTGAGTCAACATTGGGTCGAGGGCCTCTCATGTCACTGCAGATCACTGTAAAGTCACCCTCCACCCTCATGCATCTGCCAGAGTGTTCCAGTGTGTAAGGAGAGAGAGCGTCCCCGTCCCCCGTCCTCCTGTCCTCCACCCCCTTCCCCAGAGGCAACCTCCCTACCAGGTCCTGTACCTCTTCAAGGTGTCCACAGCCAGTTCCTGTCCCCACACACAGGTGGCAGCTGCCCGTCTCCTCTGGCTCTGCACGGGTTTTTGACGACTTCACGTGTGGTCACCCCAGGGCTGCTCACCATGCATTCAGATGCTTTCCCGTGGATGGACACGGAGCCCATTCCGACGTTTCCCTGTCACGTTAGCACGGCAGTAGATGTCCTGCACATATGACCTGGCCGTGTGCAGGTCACACGTGTATCTGCAATGAGATTAGTTCCTGGGGAGATGTGATATTGAGTCACGATTTCATATTTCATTATAACTTGGGCAGGGTGGTCATTTATGATAGACAGAATCCTTTCCTCAACTTGAGGTCTTTCATATTCCATCCACATTAGGTCACTGATGGTTGTTGAGTAGCTGAGGCCAAAATGTTTACCGAAGTGTTCAGCCTTGGAGCAAGAAATTTCATTGATTTTCCTATTTATCTATTGAGAAGTTTCAAATAAGTTTTGTTTAAAACAGCAGTTTTCAGAGTCATCAGTGACCGTCAATTTTCCTTTATGTGAACACAATAGTCACATGTACCTATTCTTCAGATGACTAATAGAAGTGTGACAGATAAAGCATTTAAGGAAATTTTGTGTCTCAAACTTTGTTTAGATATTGTGTCAGTTGGCTGCTGCTGTGTAACAAACATCCCCAGGACCCAGTGGTGTCTTTGATTAGCCTTCATTTAATTAACAGGTCTGAGGGCCAAAGCAGTCCACATGGGGCCTAGCAGGCCATGTGTTTCCCATCTCTTCTTGGACTTGGGTTTGTGGGGCACTGGAAACACACAAGGTCTGTGAGGGCCCAGCTTAGAACTGCTGTCCTGCCAGTTCCTCCTTGTTCTGTTGGCCAAGGCAAGCCCAGGGCTGAGCCCAGATTCAAGGACAGGGGATGCCTCTGCCTCTTCCCAGGAATGGGAGTCACATGGTAAAGGGTGCAGATCTAGGGAGTGGGGAAAACTGGGGCCGGCGACCTGCTCATCCCCAATGTTAACAGTAGTCCTAACGGACAAGCCATGTTCCTGTCCCTGACACCTGCTGATGGGCTGTGAGGAGCATCCTCGTGACCTCGGTCCAGGGAGTCTGCTCCAGGTCAGCGATGCCAGGAGTGGCCCTGAGATAGGTCCTGGGCTAGGCCAAAGCACCAAGCAGAGTTTGGCTGTGGCTGAGGCTGGAGGTAGACCCTGCTAGTGCCCAGGTGGGGGCAGGGGTGGAGCCCCAGCCACCTGAGCCCCGTTCCCTGGCCAGAGCTGCCCCCACGGCCGAGACCAGCCCAGCCGGCTGTCACAGTGGGCCACGGGCTCCTTCTCTTGCAGGGAAACATGGGCCCTGCTGCTTTCTGGCTCCTCCTCTTCCTTCTCAAGAATCCCGAGGCCCTGGCTGCTGTCCGCGGGGAGCTCGAGCGCGTCCTCTGGAGAGCAGAGCAGCCCGTCTCCCAGATGACCACCCTCCCGCAGAAGGTCTTAGACAACATGCCCGTGCTCGGTGAGATGGCCAGACCCTCCAGGAGAGCCCCCAAGCCTGAGTTGTCTCCCAACATGGATGTGAGGGCCCGTCAGTGTCCTCTGACCAGGGTCCCCAGAGCCTGCTGTCTTTGGAGTGCTGGCATCTCCATTCTCCAGTCTCACCTGCCCCATGGCTCATGTCCTAGTAGAGAAGTGGAAGAGGGACTTTATTTGGGGCACCGAGCTGAAAAGTCCAGAGGTATCTGGCTTCAGGCACAGGTGGATCCAGGTGCTTGAATAATGTCATCAAGACCAGTTCTCTCTCGCCTCTCAGCCCATTTTCCCCTAGGTTGGCTCCAGTCTCGGGTTGGCAAGATGGCTGGCTGCCAGCAGCTCAAGACTGACCGCCTTCTGCTCTGTGAGGGTGTCCCTTTCATCATTTTAACTAAATCCCAGACTTGGTCTCATTGGCCCTTTGGGTCATAGGCCCATCCTTAACCAATTGCAGCGCTCTGGTTGGCCCGTCAAAGTCCAGTTCCACAGTGAAGAATAGGGCCTGGATCCTGACTCCTGCAGTAGGAGGGGTAGTCCCCAGAGGAATGCCAGAGGCCTCTTCAGAGCGGGGATGTCGGGCAGGCGAAGATACAGACCCCCCCCCCCAGCACTCTGATGTCCCCCCGGCTCCCTCCTTTTCTCACAGCTTCCCTTGGAGTCAGACCCAGACTCCTGTCATTCAAGGTCTCTGAGGGACCAGAGATCACATCCGGTATCTTTCACTTTGCTGTGTGACTGTGGGCAAGGCGTGTACCCTCTCCGAGCCTCTTCGTCTTCCTTTATCACATGAGGGTGGCATGGCACCTGAGGACTGCCTACTGACCTGACCCTTCCTTCACTGCCCATGCAGACAGCGTGCTGGATGAGACCCTCAGGCTCACGGCTGCACCCTTCATCACCCGGGAGGTGGTGGTGGACATGGCTATGCCCATGGCCGATGGGCGGGAATTCTCTCTGCGACGTGGTGACCGCCTCCTCCTCTTCCCCTTCCTGAGTCCCCAGAGAGACCCAGACATCTACTCGGATCCCGAGGTAATTGGCAGGGGTGTTGGTCACACCAGGAGCCCTGGGGGACATCTAGGTCTGAGTGGCATCCTTCCTGTGGTCTTTGCTTGCTGTGTGAACTTGCCTAGAATGCTTTGCCTCTCTGTGTTTTTTTTTTTTTCTTACCTGTGGAATGTTCCCCATCATGACACCTGCCTGGCATGGTTGTCAGGGAGATCACATAAGAAATGGCTGCACAGGACCTGGCACATGCCGAGTGCTGCCTAAGTGGCCGCTTTGTGTTCTATCCGTTTCTCAGCTTCTTCCTCTCCCTGGACTTAGAGATGGAGCAAACTTTCACAGTTGCTAACAGATTAGTTGCTTATTATATGGCAGATCTCAGGCTATAAGCTCATCTGTCTGTCTACTCATCCATCCACCATCCACCATCTACCATCTACCATCTATCCACCCATGCACCCATCCACCCATGCATCCACCATCCATCCACCCATCTACTCATCCTTCCACCACCCATCCATCCATCCACCATCCACCCATCCACTCATCCATCTACCATCCATCCACCCACCCACTATCCATCCATCCACTCATCTATTCACTCATCCATCTATTCAGAGATCCATCCAACCACCATCTACCCATCCACCATCCATCCATCCATCCACTTTTGCATCTATCCAGAGATCCATCCAACCACCATCCATCCACCCACTCATCCATCTGGAGATCCATTCACCTTCCATCCATCCATCCACTCATACATCTATCCAGATACCCATCCATCCATCCATTTATCCACCCACCCATCCGTCTATCCACCATCCATCCACCTATTCATCCCTCCACTCATCCATGTCTTCAGAGATCCACTCATCCATTCACTCATCTATCTGTCCAGAGATCCATCTATCAATCCATCCATCCACTCATCCATCCATTCATCCATCCACTCATCCATCTACCCAGAGATCTATTCATCCATCCACTAACCCATCCACCTATCCATATACCCATCCATCCATCCATTCAGTCATCCATTCATCTATCCATCCATCCACTAATCCATCCATCCACCATCCATCCACCCACTCATCCATCTATACAGAGATCTATCCAACCACCATCCACCCATCCATCATCCATCCATTCATCCATTCATCCATCTATCCAGAGATCCATCCATCCATCCACCATCCATCCATCCACCATTCATCTGTCCATCCACCTACCATCCACCCATCCACTCTTCCACCCATCCACTCATCCCTCCACCATCCATCACTCGTCCCTCTATCCATCCATCCATCCACTCATTCATCCATCCATCCATCCACTCATCCCTCCACCCACTCATCTCTCCACCGCACCCAGCTGGTGGGCTCGCCCGCCTCCCTGGGCACGTCTTCTGGCCCTTCCTCTGCTGGGCCTGGTGCGCACGTGTCGTTGCCTTGCCCCTGCCCAGGCAGCCCGAGGGAGTGCCATTCTCTCTTAAAGACACTCTAGTCTTCGTGGTGCGTCCCCACGGTCACAGATCATAAAGTAAAAAGGAAAGATGTCGTCCCCTCCCTCTCTAGTGCCAGAGTTCCCTGACCGTCTTGTTTTTGGAGTGTGTCTCACTTGTGTCATTCCTTCATGGACTCGTGGCAGCACACTCACACACACCCGTGTGCACTGCTCGCTCAACGGCCACAGCAGTCCTTCCTCCCGTCAGATCCTCACCCTCTCGCCGAGGCTCTGTAGCCGTCCCCTGGGTGGACCTTACTTCTGCCGCTTCCCTCTGATAAGCGAGCGTGCGAGGACGTCCGCGGTCATTTCGCGTGGACCGTCCACTCACTCGTCCCTTGTTGGGGTCGGGGTTAAAAGTGGGCCCTCTTCCATTTCCAGACGTTTAAATACGACCGGTTCCTGAACGCCGACGGGTCGGAGAAAAGAGACTTCTACAAGGACGGGAAGCGGCTGAAGCACCCCAGCGTGCCCTGGGGGGCGGGCCACAACCAGTGCCTGGGCAGGGGCTACGCCGTCAGCAGCATCAAGCAGTGAGTGGGGGTCCCCGGGGGCACCGCGCCCTCCTCCCCAGACACCGAGTGCTCAGCCAGGCGGGGTGCAGTTAGGGCAGGCTCCAAGCTGACCGAGGGGCCTCTCCTGCCCACACATCTGTTCATTAATGTTTTAAAGATCGAAAGAGCTCGCACAAAAAGCCAGATTTCTGACCTTTTGAAATAACCAGATCTGGCAGCAGGAGTGTCCCTCCAAGAGAGGGTCTGAATGCCACCCGCTGGGCACTCGGGCCAGTCGCCCGTAACTGTCCATCGCAGCTGCTGCTGTGTGTTTAGAACCTGGCCTCGCTTCAGCGTCCCCCTCTGGGGGCTGAGAGCCTGGTGACTCTTGCCTGGACCCAGGTGCCTCCCTTCCCCTGGGATCACAACCGATTGGACCAGGGTGGTGACGTTTCTCTGTCTGGCCCCTGTGCAGTCACGAGCTGGGGGACCTCGGAGCCTGTTTTCCCAGCTGGTTAGAACCGTGTCCCGGGTGTCCCGACAACTGCAGGCTGTGCCGAATGGTCATTGTCACGGTACTTCGTCACTGCTGTCAGGGTGCAGGCTTGGGCTGGGGACGGCTCTGCACTTGAAGCCTGGTCTCGGTTCTCTCAGTGGTGAATGGAGTTCAGGTTGCGCTCGGTTCTGCTCTGACGCTTCCTGGGCTTCAGTGATCCCACGTCCTCCCGCTGTGACATCCTGCAGAACTGCCCAGGGCTCGTGGGACAGAAGCTGTTGGCGCCCACTGAGGCCTCCTCGGCGGCTCGGGGGAGGAGAGCCCAGTAAAGACCAGTGACACGCAGGTCACAAGATGGGGAGGTCGGCGTGCGCTGGGGACGCGCCGTCCGCGGGGGGCCAAGGGTGTGAGCCTGGGGGCTCTGCACACCAGGCTGGGCCGGGCGGGTTTGCACTCACCTGGAGTTTCTCACAGATGAGACGTGACACCGTGCTGTCCTCGATTCTGCCCTTGAGTGGCCGTCGCCGATCAGGTCCATGGTTCCCAGCGAGCGCTGCAGCAGAACTGGGCGGGGTCCTGCCTCGTCAGGTTTTTGGGCAGGCAAAAAGGAGACATGGGTCCTAAAGGCTGAGCACCACGTCTGGCCCATGGAGGGTTGAAAGCCTCTCGGTCATCATGGCCACCCTGCCAGGCAGGGGTCAGTCTGAAGCTCTCTGGATGGTCAGGTCATGGGCTGCTCTCGGGCATCTGGCAAGTGGAGATGCCAGGGTCCGGGTCCAGGCTGGGCCCTGAGGTTCGCCCCAGCGGACTCACCGTGGGCACCCTGCAGCCCAGGCAGAAGGGACCCTTCCCACAGACGGGGACCTCAGACCCCCACTGAAAACAAAACCTGGCCAGGGCCACATGCCGCAGGTGACAGAGCCCAGATCTCCTGTCCAGAGTGGCCTTCCCTGTTCCTCGTCCTCCTGAGCTCTGTCCTGCATTTGGTCCCGGCCACAGTTAGGGTGAGTGATCAGGCAGGTAAGCAGGGCCTGTCAGTCCTGAAACTGCATTACTGGGGACACTGATGGCGTCCTAGGCGTGGTAGCTTTGCATAGTCATTGGACAATGTCCTAGAAGGTGGCGGTAGGGAGCACCTGTCTTGGTATACGATGTCAGTTTTCTTACCTGTGGCAATAACTGTCTTGGGAGGGCAGTGCCTGCTTCTATGTCACCGAGACACAGGTGGGTGAGCAATGGCCCTGGCTGGGACCGACAGTGGAGTGGTGAGGGGTGTGGGCAGGAGCAGGAGGGGCCCGCCAAGCCCCAGGACTTAGAGCCCCACAGGCTGGGGCCTGGGGCTCCTCCCCGCTGCAGGACTCTGGGGCCAGCAGGCTCCCCTCTGCAGTGCCCCCATCTCTACACGAAGCCTGCACAGCCACCGGGCGGCAGGGAAGTGTGGAGTCGGGCGTGGCTCGAAAGTGCCTTGGCGTGGCAGTGACACTGGCCACCTCTGCTTAACCCCGGTCACCAGAACTCGTCCTCGGGCCTCGGCTCAGCAGGGGCCGGTGGACCAGAGGCACTGCCCACCTTCAGCTCCGTCTCTCTGCAGGTTCGTGGTCCTGGTGCTGACGCACTGCGACCTGGAGCTGATCCGCGCCGACGTGGAGGTCCCCGAGTTCGACCTCAGCAGGTACGGCTTCGGCCTGATGCAGCCGGAACTCGACGTGCCTGTGCGATTCCGCGTCCGGCCCTGATCTGCGCCCATCTCCAGCCACCCTGCGCGGCTCTGCCTTCCTGCACCGCATCGCCCTCTCCTGCTGCTCCAGAGGCTGTGTCCGCTGAGGGGACGAGGGGCTGGAGCTGCGAAGGACACAGCAGGAAAGACCGCAGAGGCTCCGGTCGCTGCAGACTTCCAGACTCCTCCTCCCCGGCTCGCCTTGCTCCTGTCACCTGGTGATGTCCCCTGAAGCTAATCCAGACAGGGCAGGGCCATGAGTCCTGCTGCCAGGCCCCCAGCTCCACGGTGGTCCCTGTCCCAGCCCTTGACAACGAGTGTGGTCCAGGCGAAGCCGGTCAAAGCAGATGCTGGCCTGGAGAGGCCCCTTGGACCCAGCAGTGTGTCCACATCGCAGGCTCTGTCCCGCTTGCTAAGGTGTCCCTCAGGACCCCTCCCTCCCTGGGTGCCCCACTCACTGGACAGAGTCCCCCCACCGTTCACGGGACACCTGAGACCCCCGAGGAGCAGAGAGCCGGGTGTGGTCCCTAGGCCCTGCGGAGCGCTGGGCTCTGGGAGAGTCCTCTGATGTGGGCTTCCCTGACTCGGGGACCAGGAGACAGGCCCCAGGTGGCTGAGGAGCCAGCGCACGGGGCGGGGGGGGGGTGGCTGAGCCCCTTGCTCCTGAGCAGACCCCCTGCCGCTGCACCGTCCCCCGCAGGCGGGTTTCCTTGGCTGACACTTCAGAGAGCCTGGACTTGGTTTTAGTTTGAATCCCTCCGTCTGCGGGAGAGTGTGGTCCAGCTCTCCTGACAACCCGGGCGCTCTGGCCACACGGGCGCTCCGCAGGGCATCGCGCAGGAGCCGAGTGCTGCCCTCTGCCTGGCCGGGCCTGGGCTCTGCTCCCCCAGCGTCGGGCTTGGTCGGCTCTGCCTCTCGGTACCTTCTGGCCCGGAGGGCACCCGAGTCTGAGGCCGTCTGGCTCTTAGAAGTGACGTCACAGGAGCAGAAGTGACGTCACGGGACCTGACCTGCCGGCCCCAGCCTTTGAACAAGCAGGTCAGTGAGGAAACCGACCTTTGCCTCAGCTTTAAGGAAGAACGGCGTCAGAAAAACAGCCTGCGAGCCCTGATGGTGGCCGCAGGTGTTATCGACAGCAGGTTCTGCTTATCGGATGCCCCTGGAGTGCTGTGACGGGCGAGCAGACATGGATTTCTGTTCCTTACAATGTCTCTGTGCAGAGAGGACAGCGATGCCCTCTTTGTACATGGGAAAGCAGGCTCAAAGAGGTGCAGTGGGTTTCCTGGGGTCACACAGCTCATCAACTGGTTGAACTGGGACCACACTTCTTGTTCTAGGAGCAAATGGTGGATGGGCTCAGGTTCCTCGGGGTCCAGGGCTGGTGGGGTGCCATTCTGTCTGGCCTTGGAGTGCTGAGAGCCAGAGGCTTGAGTGTGGATTCATACCCTGAGCCGTAGATGCAGACACAGAGCAAGTCCTCTGGCTTTAGGTGGACAGGAGAGGCCCCAGGGGTCCGTCTCTTCCAGGAGCAGTGCGGGGTGTGGGGCTTCCCCAGCCCCCTGTCGCCAGGCAGCCCCGGATTCCCAGACAGACGGTGTGATTGGCAGGAGGCTGGATATCCCCGGGGAGACCCATCTCCACGCCTGGGTGACCCCGCCGCCGCCTGCTTCTTAACTCTGCAGGAAATCAGAGCTGGCAGCCTCCTGTGGGAGGACAGCCGGTTTCCATGGCAACCCTCGCTGCCGCCTCGCTGCTGGGGGGGAAGGAAGGAAGCCAGCGGAAGAGCCCGGAGGTCCCCGGCTGCAGCCTGGCGTGTGCCCGGGGAGGACCTGCTGACTCCCCCCGAGGCTGGGCCGGGCTGTCCCCCAGGCTGGACCGGGCTGTCCCCGAGGCTGGGTTCTCCCCTTATATCGGGAACGGCTCCAGGAGAAGAGGCTCTCCCTGCGGCCGAGGCGCTGGAGCAGGGGGTTAACTGCTCTTGCTTCAGTCTTTAGAATTTTTCTTGACTTTTCTTTTCTCCCTTTTTTCCTTTTAATAAGTGTTAAGAATGGAGAGAGATGGTGGCACAGTGCTAGCTGCAGGGCTAGGAAGGCCCGGGTGTCGCACCTCCTCCTGCCTCCCTGGGAACCGCGGGCCGCAGGCGTTAGTCATCTGGGTTGAAAGGTCGTTGGAGAGGGGTCCTCAGCCCTGTCCTTACTGGCTGTTTCTCTTTTTTCTTCTTTTTTTTTCCCTTTCCTGTATTTTAAGTTGTTTTCCAAATATTCTCCTTTAGGCAGACTCACTTTTTAAATTTAAATTTGTCTTCCGGTTGCTGCCAGTAATGGCCAACGTGCGCTCACTGCCCAAAATAGAAAACGACTGAAAAAGAACTGGGCTGGGGAGGGGCTGGGGCCCGTGGCCAAGGCCCAGAGCCCCGCAAGGCCAGGGCTGCCGGCGGACTGGCCACTTCTCCTTGGTGAGCACACAAGGTCCCAGGCTGAGGGGCAGGACTGTCCCCGTGGGGGCCTCGCAGGGGCATGTGCTCCACCAGGGGGCGCCACTCACAGCAGCTGGACTCGCCACCTGCCCCCTCCAGACAGGCCCCCAGGGGCAGCGGCCTCGCCCCAAGTAATTGACTTGGATGTTCTTGCTGTCTTAGTAAACACCGCGGTTCCCGAGTGCGCGACTGCTAGGCCTTCCTCGTTTAATAAAGATTCTATTTTCATATAACATTTGAGTGGAAGGGGGCTAAATCTATTAAACCAGCTTGTTTGTGGATCTGTCTGTGTGTGATTCTGATCCATTGAGGAGGCTGGCGGGTCTGAGAGAGCCAGGGTAGCCCTGGGAGGGGAGCGCAGGGAACCTGCTCTGGGCCCAGCTCTGGGCCAGAGCCTCTAGGAGACAGAATGCAGTCACTCCCCCAGCCACCCTCCAGAGGTGTATGTTATTGTCCTCATTTATATAGAGAAAGAAACTGAGGGTCATAGAGGTTCAGTGACTTGTCTAAGATGTGCATGAGAAGTAGTAGATTCAGGATTCAAATGCAGGCCTCTCTGCTGTTACAGACTCTGTTTCTATGAGTAATGTGCTCTCCTCCTGCTGACAGCAGAGGGGCCAATGGAGGGTCCCTAGCAGACAAAAAAGAAAAGGTCTCCGAAAAATTTACTGCCTCTTCTCCGTCCTCCCCCAAAATGCACACATTTGTTTTAGTATAAAAAAAGCATGAAATGAATTGAGTTTGCTTTGGCAAAAACAGAAAATGGACCACAATGGCTTTCTCGTGGAATCTTGTCGAGGCGTGAGGTCTCCCCCGTCTGCCTCCTCGTCGTGGGGGAGTCACAGAAGCACCGCAGGTTTTGCACGTCAAAGTGTTCACATTCAAAGCAGCAGACATTTCCTTCTTGTGCAGATACAGGAGACCAGAGCTGGTGTGGCGTCTCCACAGCCACAGGCCCTTCTTTCCTGGTCCCTCCTGCACCGTAGCCAGGATTGCAGCCTCAGGGACAAGTGTGGCTGGCTAAGTCCAGCTATTTTGTCACCTTCCAGGCAGCAGCAAGGAGGGAGGAGCAAAAAAAAGAAGTCTGCTTCCGCTATTGGTCATGCCTTAGTCACCTGACCTTTCTTGCCGCAGTGGAGGCTGGGAAATGTAGTCTTTTGTTCCAGGATACCAGGCTGCACCCCAGGGTACCACGCTACTGCTCAATAAAAATAGTACACTCTCCTGTTTACCAGGAGCCGTCTGAGCTACCTGGTGGGCCGAGGGACAGGGCTTGGCTTCTGTCACAGTTTGGATCTGGACCATTCCCCAAGGGCTCCTGCATCCCTGAGGTGGGGATTTGATCCATCACGAGCGCTCTGCTGCACTGAGGTGGTGACCCAGGGACTCCCAGCTGGATGGACCAGGGTGGGGGGACCGTGGGGGATCCTGCTGGGCAGTGGACCGTCCTTCCTCTCCCTTCAAGTCCTGACCAGCGCGTGGGGGAGACAAGAACCTGGGTAAGGAAGTCAAACACAGAGCGTGTCAGTTGGTGACAGGGCTGGAGAGGAGAAGGGCTGAGGGAGCCAACACTCGGCGCGACCGCCAGGCATCTGAGGAAGAATGTTCCAGACAGGGGCTATGGAGACCAGGCAGCCCGGCAGGTTCCAGGACCGGGGAGGAGGCCAGGTGGCCGGTGCCGTGGAGGCTCTGGGGAGAGGAAGGACGGTCCACTGCCCAGCAGGATCCCCCACCTGCGTGTGTGGGAGCGGCCAGGCCTGCGGCGGCATAGACTCCACGCCCAGGCCACAGAGACGTCGAGAAGCCAGTCAGAGTGGGGACGGCGCCAGGCCTGAGAAGCCAAGACAGCAGGAGGGACGTGGTGGTGGTGGAGGCAGAGGTGGCCCTGAGGTGGCCCTGGGGCAGTCAGGGACGTCTCCAGGCAGGTGGCCACGCGATCTGGGGTCTGGTTGGTAGCCCGCCAGCCTTGGGAAGATGCAGGGGAGCACTCAGGGGAAGGCGGAGGCCCGGCCAGCAGACGTGTGCTTGAGAAACACTGTCCCCAGGTCCCTCTGCTCAGGCCTGGGGACTGAGCAGGACGGCAGGCCACACCTTCCTTCCAATGGAAACAACCTGGTTTTGTGGAACCCGCCTTCCGGCCCGAGTTTCCTCTTTCCATAGTGAGCCGTGAAGCTCCAAGCCCTCACCGACAGGGTGTGGGAGCCGTGGCCATTGGAGATGTGGATTTGAGGCCACTGAGGGCCAAGTGGGGGACAGCTGGAGGCCCTGAACCTTCTCAGGACCAGGGTGGCCCGAGAGGGACAGGGACACGGCAGAGCACCCACGTTGCACAGGAACGCCACCTTTGGACACCCAGACCCTTGGAACTAACAGGGTCTTCACGACTGTGCGTCAGGTGACAGCAGAGCCACGTGGGTGAGGAAGGTGGCCGGGCAACACCAAGCCCAGCCCCAAAGAAGCGCAGGTCTGTTCAGATGATAGCCGGCTCCGTGTGCAACCTCCAGGTGAAAACAAGCCCAAGTCAAGCTTCCATGCCAGGCACCCCTTGCCAGCCAAGTGGTGGTCATGTGACCCAGCACTGGCCAATGAGATGGTCAGGAAAGACTGGGAACTTCAGCAACGGGAGGCTTTTCCTCCTCCTTGTTTCTCTCTTGCTTGTCATGTGAGAACCTGTCCATGGCAGCCGTCTTGTGGTCACGAGGACAAGACTTGGAGAAGCCAACCAAGAACACTGAGACCTCTAAGCTGCTGGCCTCACCTACGCGTGGATCTCATGTAAATGAGAGAATCCGGGGTGTGGCTATTCAACTCTACCTGGGGGCCACACACCCCAATGGCGTGGCCTGGGCTCTGCTTGGGTTTGAATCCCTGCAGTCCACGGGTGATAAATGGTGAGCGCCGGCTTCCTCGCCTGCAGCACAGGGTCCTGGGTAACAACACCCTGAAGTAAGCGTCCCACGTCAGCTCCCCAGAGAGCGGCTCAGACTGCGACAGGAAGCTGCCTGGGGTCTGGGCCGAGAGGGCGAACAGGAGCCTGCTGTGTGGCAACACAAGGGTCATGGGGCCAGGAAAGCCGAGGGAGCGGCCGGTGGCCACCAGGCGCCTGTCGCTCGGTAACAGTCCTGAAGTGAGGCGACTCGGAAGGGACCGTGTGGGTCGTCAGGACCCTCTGCTAGGCTCTCCTGGGTGGCAGGTGGGCGGGAGCATCAGGGCAACTTGGCTCACACGCTGGCGCCCTGGCGGGAGGCCGCAGGCTGGGATCTGGGATGATGCCGGGCCTGAGCTGCTCTCCTCACATCATCCCAGGGTCCGCCAGCGGGGCGGCTGGGCTGCCACACGGTGACCAGGGCCGTCAGAGCCCCGGAGCAGGAGCTGCCGTATTCCTAAAGGCTTTGCCTCAGCCGCCTCACTCCACCACAGCCTCCTGGCCAAAGAGCTGGCCAGGCCACCCAGGGTCGGTGCTGGGGGTGAGCTAGGGGCAGATGGGTGCAGGGTGGGCCAGCCCATGGATGGCCCCGTGGGGGACCGTGGCCTGGGATGAGCACCTGGCGCACACATGGAGGTGGATGAAGGAGGGCGCAGGACGTGGGGGGATGGCGAGTGGCGGATGGAGGGGTGTGGAGGGGTCGAGGGCCTGGCTGGGGATGGGGTGATGGCCGTATGGCTGGGCCCAGAGTGGGGAGGGCCAGGTGAGGGTGACAGAAAGGCGGGGGTGCCCCCAGGGCCAGGCTTGTTCACTCCCCAGGAAGTGGAGGCGGGAAGCCGGGCCAGGAAAGGCTGGGGTAACCCAGGCCACCCACGGCCCAGGGGTCTGGTTACGACAGTTATCATGCTCAGCCCAAGGAAGACAGAGCCAGAGAGACCCTGGCCTTCTCCCTCGGTCATTTACGGCCTGTGGGGGAAGGAGAGAGTCCGGGCTGGGGCCCCGAGGCAGGGCGCTTGCCTGGTACGTGGGGCCCTGGTTCCGTCCTCAGCACCACATAAAAATAGGTCAATAAGGCGAAGGCCTGTGTCCTCCGCAACTAAACATAGAAGCTCCTCCAGAGGTGTGGGGCGGGGGGACGGAGCCACCAGCCCAGAGCCTGGCACTGGCAAGAGTGCAACCAGGGCCAGCTGCCCCCTCCAGGTGTTTGCAGTGTCCCTCCTGCTGGCGTGACTCCCCACGGTCCTGACAGGTGTGAGGTCCTCCTGGGAGGCAGCTTCACCTCCCGTCCCTTCTCATCTCCTGATAAGAGGAGCAGGACAGAGAAGAGGTGGAAAAACCCCCGGGGCCGCTGGAGCTTTGTCTGAGCAAGGCCACCGCCAAGAGCAGCTGTCCTGAGTGACAGCCACTTGGAGTTAACGATGTCCCCTGAGCCTCGGAGCACCCCCACCCCCACCCTCACGGAGCCGCTTCTCCTGGGGGTTAATTGGCCTCGCTGTGCCCAGATGTGCAGAGACCCAAGAGGGAGCACAGGGGGTCATGAATAAATGATGCTGGTGTCGGAGACCAAGAGGAGAGGACCTGACTTCAAAGGACGCATCTCTGGCAGCACTGTGTAGAGGAAGCATCACTCCCCACGGGGATAGCCTGGGCCGACTGGACCTCGCTCAGGCTGCCCCCCAGGCCTGAGCAGACGGATTTTAGACAGCACTGGCCTGAGCATCCCGAGACCCAACCGGTATTGGAACCTAGTGTCCCCTTGTGGTTGACAGCAGGAGGCTGTCCCCTCCACAAGCCTTTCAGCTTTCCCATCTTCAGACGAGAGGGTTGCACCTGAGACCTCACGGCATGGGGCGTCCCTTCTCTGCAGGTACTCTGAGTTGTATCACCCACGTGTTCTTCTCAATGTGATGATAAATTTCTGGTCAGTGGAGAGGACTGTTATCATTGAGCTCTTTGGGATACAGATGACAGAATGACAACTCCTTCTGGGTTAAGTAAAAGGGACATCTACTCGCTCGAATAACTGGAAATCCGCCTTTAGGCATGGCTGGATCCAGAAACTGTCACGGTATTGTCAGGACTCAGTAATTTAATTCTCATCTTTTGTCTCCCCTGCAATGGGCTTTGTTTCCAGGGAGTCCTTCCTCTTATAATGGCAGGAAATTGTAAGGAAAAAAGGGCATGTGTCTTCAAATAACTTAGTCTTTGCTGCCAGGTGCTGTGGTGCATGCCTGAAATCCCAGCAACTCAGGAGGCTGAGGCACGAGGATTGCAGGATGGAGGCCAGGATCCACAACTTAGCAGGAACTTGTCTCAAAATGAAAAATGGCAAATGGCTGGGGACCCTGGATTTAA